GGTCTTGAGATCGTCTGGTCAGCAGGGACGATCTCGTCCATGGCGAAAGAATGATGCTTGAAACTTCTTGCATATGTGATGAGGTATTTGTAATGGGTTTGGGTGCTTTTGAGAGGGAAAAAGAACAGAGACAGAGAGAGAGAGAGAAAGCAAGAGCTTTTATTTTTTGTCTCCTTCTGCTGCTTTTTTGGGGGGAAGGAAGTGCTTTTGCTTTGAGGGAAGGAGGAAGAAGAGGGAGAGATAGTGGGTTCGTGAACTGGGGGTTGAAGGTGGAAAAAGAGAGGGGAAATGGCTTTTTGAACTCCACTTTTGTTCCCAATTTTGCCCAAGGACCTCTTTGGTAAACGGAAATCTAATTGAGGTGAGAATGTAATATGCTGCAAGGAGTAGAATGCAAAATGGAACTAACATAGTAATAGAATACTCATTTTTACTCTCATGTTTCAATGCAATTGAAGTATGAATTGGAAGGGAGTGAGTGGGAATGAGCATTTTTAGAAGTGGTTATTTTTCTTTTTCTTTTTTTTTTTTTTTTGCCCCGTTACTTAAATGGGAATGTCCATTGCCAATTATCTCATTGGGACTGATTATTCTTAAAATTGTTCAAAAGTGACAATAAGAATTCTAGCTTTCAAAAACATGTCGTGTTTGATGTGAACGAATGATATCCAATTCCGCTCATTCTCTTGGACCAAACGAGGCATAAAAAAAACTGACTTTAAAAAAGGAAAATGCAGAGGGAGGGGCGGTCTGATGGTGTATTTTAGTGGGTGATTTTTTTTACTGCTAACGTGCACCTCCACCTAGATTCAAATGGGAAAGAAGAAGAAAAATAGTAGCAAGATAACCCCAAATAGTGAGTTGAGAGATTCAATGTTTGTTTATCCTTCTCCACCTAGCTTCAGAGTAGGTTCAGATGAGATAGAAAGTTCTTCGAGCTCAGCTGTGATGGAGAGCACTGGGCCAAAAGGATCTAAGAGGAAAGTGCAAATGGTTGAAATCCTAGCCATAACAAATCCTTTGTCAGATCCCCAATTGCCTCAACTGCGTTCTGGATTTCCAATTACTCGGCAACTAATTAAGTCTCCTAACTCTATCTCGTGGGCCGATGAAGTAGAAGAAGACATTGATTCTGGTTTGATTGAGAATAGCTCTTTAGATGAGGAGAATATTGAGGTCTTTACTCTTTTTGTTGCCAAATCCATAAATATCAAGGATGAGACTAGAAATCCCAATTTGGGAAAAGATAGCAATGAAGTTTCAAAAAATGTGAATCAGGAGAAAGGTGTGAGTTTGGAAAATAGTGAGCCTGAAATATTGAAATCTTTTGTTAGCCTATTTGCTGATAATAGGAAAACTAAAAATAGTCTATCCCTAAAATTTGTATCGTCTCCCCAAACTAATATTGTTACATTCTCTGCGGAGGAGTAGAAGGGAGGGGAAGATTTCTAGAAATATGCTTTGATAGGTCATGTTATTGGAT